AACCAAATGCTTTTAATATTCTCATATTTTTCTCATAAAATTTTAAATTACGAAAATCACGCTCTAATCAATTTTTCTAGAAAGGAAAATTTAATAAACACTACATTTAATTTTATGTCATTTTAAATAGATAACTGTAATCCATGTAATAAACACGCTTAGGTCCCACTCGTAATCTAACAATAATTCTGTAATAATAACCAAATTACAGCCACATACACTTTTCCCGTAATTCCGTCTATGGCGTAACGGTCACTTCCTTTTTTGCGTTTCCTTTCTTCGCTTATGTTTCTTATGTTCATTATGTTGTAACTTTTGTGCCATCACAACATCAAAACATGAAACTCATACACAATTATGAGTAGCAACAACAACTATTTCTTTCTTATTTCTATTTCTTTATCTATGTAACTATCTATCTAACCATGTACGTGATTCTTTGGAACATAGGTACTTAAGTCAAATCAAAATTGAGTTTCGACGATTTGAAGTGAACTGGTAGACCTCTTCGAAGTAGTAAAATGTTTTTTGATTATCTCTGGTCTATCTGCCGCGCAAACCGACATTAGTTGCACTTAATATGCTTAATAAACTTTCTTTTTCGAAACGTTTCAAAAATGCTAAGTTGAAAACAATTGCTTTATTTTTTAAATGCTTGTTTCTTTTTTTGAGTTGTAGTAAAGCAAGTAAAGAGTATTTAAGTAAGAGTAAGTGTAATTGAAATTTTGTTTTCGATTTCAATCGCAGACGATATGCTTATTATCCGAATCGATGCGTGGTATTGGCCGTTTAGGTTCAGTAATTATCCATAATTATCTACAATTCAAAGCTTAAATCAGGCATAATTAATTGTTTTCAATATTCAAACAAAAAAATGACATTTTTGATCATTTGAAAAAGAAAAAAATTAAAATTTAAAGAAAAGTTGGATTTAATTTAAGAATAAACTAAGTGCAATTAAAAATAGAGGCTAGGTACAATTACATTTAATTACTGCCTTTATACTTCCATCTACCAAAAGAGAAAAATTATTTTTGGTATGACTTTTACTTTTGCAGTTATAAATGAGAAAAATTACAATTTTTTTGTCTTTAAATTAACAATTATCACAAATATTAAATAATTTTTAATGGGATTATGTTCTCTATTCTATAATAAACCTGAAAATCTAAAAATAAAACTTCTATCTCTTCTACTTTAGGAGTTATTGCTGATTTTATATTTTACTGCAAATTTAATTTTTTGAAAAATTAATAAGAATAATAAGAACATTAAGTTAATTTCCACTTAAATCATCATAAAATGACTATCCGGCTAATGTACCTTTACGTAATACAAACTATAATATTATTATAATAAGTTTCAGAACGTAATAATATTATAAAAAAGATTTAAAGTAATGTAACGTAATGAGAAACACATGGAAAAAAATTACCTACTCGTACTTCTTATGCGGAAGTACGGAAGTAAGTAACAGGCATTACAGAGCACCAAACGTTACCATCACTATTCAGTTTTTTTGTTCTTGTTGAGTTCTGCATCACGCTTGTGTTATTACATTACATCTTGGAATTTCGTACAAAAAATCCTCGAATCAAAGTAATTCAATTAGGCGATGCTCGTTTGTAATTCGTATTTATAAGCTTTCTTTCTTTTTTTTGCTCAATGCACGATGGTTCGTTAATTTCGTTTTAGATATGCTTGTCTACTTGTTTGTTTGTTGTTTATGTAATAGAATATGTGCCAAATTACTTAACGCTGTAATTTTATAACACTTTACGTTAATTGGCTGCAGAGCTATTGTTGGTGGAGCTGAACAACAATATTATGTTCATTTGAATAATAACCGGATCACCGGAAATTGTTGGAATGTGCTTGTTTATTATGTGTTTGATGTGTTTTGGCGTTACGAAAAATAATTTTCTATGGTTTTAGAAAATATTTATTTGTGAAAATATTTTTATTGCGTGTTTTTTTCTGTGTAATGAATTAAATTGCATTTCCTGTGATGTGGTTAAATTTTCTCTTTTTATTTCAAAATATTAATTTTTATAAAATTATATTTTTTGTTGATTTGGAGGGAAAATACATTAATATACATTTATTTTGATTAAATAGTATTAGTAGTTATTGTATTATACAATGCCATAAGCAATTTGTTTATTATTTATTTATTTTGCAAAAAAATTGATTAAAAAGCTAAAAAATATGTTTTTCGGATTTTTGAAAACTACAATTTAAAAAAAAAAACTTGAATTTTTGATCACTACAGGCAATTTTAACACCAAAAAACTTATTTTTCATCTAAAATATTGCATTTTGTGCATTTTTGCACTAAAATATTACCAAAAAATGAAATGAAAAAAATTTTAAATGAAAAATGAATGAATTTCTATGTTAAACTCCTCAAAACTATTTTATTTGCACATTTTTCGGAATTTTTTGTTCATGAATAGCTTTGTTATCAAATTCTAAAGGACTTTTACGTGCTTCCTAGGTAAAAAAATCGGTTGCAGAAGTAAAAAAAGAGAATTTTTCAAAAAATGTGCAAAAATTACATCAAATAAAAACTTCTTTTTGCAAAAGTAGAAAGAATTCCATGCTTTCTTACTTACACGATGCTTGCGGTGCGTCAAGAGCCAGTTTGGCCGGCATTAAACGATTTCGGGTGCCAATCTAGGACACGCAAGGACGTTTCGTTGTTACGCAACCCAAACAAGCACAACAAGCACCAGAACCGGCTGTCGAACTCGCGCGCTCGCGTTCGTATTCGCAGTACGATTAAACGCCGCTGGACATCAACAAATCTTTCTTTGCACACTCACTCATTTACTTAACATTTTGCTTCATTTTTCACCTTTCAATTCTTCACACTTCTTTAACATTTCTTTAATTTCTTTGGCGTTTGTTGAGTTTTTAAGTGTATAGGCAACTTTAATTGCATGGAGACTTCAATGCTTGGTCAGGAATAAAGAAATAAAGAAAAGCAGATAGAAATTATAGATTTATAGTGATTAAAGATGTTTTTATTGAGTTTTAATGATAGTTATTTATTAATAGCGAGTAAATGTTTGGATTGTAATAAAATTTACACAGAAAATGTGTAATTATTTATAAGTTTTCTTGTTTATTAAATAAAATAGTGAATAAATGAATATAAATGGTAAATAAAATCATGAATTGAAAGAAATTGTTATTAAACAGAACAAAATATAATATTTTATACAAAAAATACGTTTAAACTGCAAAATTTCTTTGTTTTTCAGTAAAAACTCAAAAAATTTGATTTAAAAACAAAAATAAATATTTTCTTTCGCAAATAATTCATAAACCACTCAACCAAACACAATTTTAATTTCACATATTGAAACACAATTAAAAACTCCAACAAAAACATATAACTCACCACAATTAATAAATTCCTTAACGTTATTATTAACAAATAAAACAATTTTCTTTCCACTGTTTTTTACATGAACCAAGAGCGAGAAAACCACGCAAACCACCAAACCTGCATGCGTTCAAGAAGGAGAAAGCTTTTCACCTTGCATAATCTTGGCTCGGCGCTTGTGTAACGCCTGCCGGCTGCCTACACAAATCCACTCTGCGTCTCGTAGGTGGCGCTGTCATCGCGCGCTCGCAGGAGGAGAAGCAAAGCAGGAGCAAAGAAAGGTCGCAGCCGCGCGCCGTCGCCGCTCATTCGCAGTGAGGCGCGCGTTCGTCGCGGTTCGCACTTTTTCCTCTCTCCTTGCAACCACACACACATCACTCACAAATACACTCAACCCAACAATCACCACGCGTGCACAACCTATCTCCTGGCACCTGCTAAATCAACGATTATCACGCTCAATCACCGTCAACGTCATACAATATTAAAAATAGTGTCCTGAACTTCGTCCAGTGTCCGAATCAGTGATCGTTAAACTTTTGGAGTTTGGTAGGGTTCTGGATACGCGAAGAAGGATAACGTTCTGTTGAATTTTAATTTAAATTTGCACACGCCTCATCACGAAATATTGAATAAAAGTTTTGGTTTGTTTTTGGGTGAGGATTCCTTGTGCGAGTAGGTCAGTATTTATTTATTTATTTGGTTGTTTTTGTTGTGATTTTGAATGTGTTGGGTTTTGAGATTGCGATAAATGTGTATCACTCTCATTGCACTACTTTTGCATCGGTGGATATCATTCTCGCAGAGTCTGTTTGCACTTTCTAATGTAATCGCGGACTTTTGCTTTTCGTCGGGCGGATATCTCGATTTAATGTCAATTTCACTAATTGTTGTCATGCAACAAATCAAATACAAGAAGCGAAACTAAATTGGAATTTGTTTTAGTTGGTGTGTTATTTTCTATAATAAAATTATTATTTACATTTATATCGCTAGGTTATTACTTTAGAAGTTATTATCAAAATTATGTAAAACTATATAAAAACCAAGAAAATGGTAAAATGAACTAGTTTTATTCAACTTTTACTTAAACGTTTGGTAAAGACAATAAAAGGAGTTTTATTTGCAATTAACCAGCTTAAAATTAACAAAATCGTTTGAAAATTAATAAAAATTGTTCAAAAAAATTGAAAAACACTATTTTTAATACTTTAAAATAAAATGTGTGATTTTACGTGTATATAGTAAAAAATGTTACAAAATATTTTTTTTGTTTTAAAGTTTGGTTTAATATTTTGATAATTTAATACAATATTTAATGTATTTGTAGTACTTTGGATTCATTGTATATTAAACAATGAATTGACGTCAGTAAATTAAATTATTCGAAAATAACCGAAGTGTAATTACCAAAACAATAAAAAGAAACCGCATCATAAATTATTTTCAATTTCATCTTTTGCTACTATGCGCATGTACAAATATTCAACTTTAATGCATTTTGATGACGTTGTTAGTCATTCTCTTCTGTTTTGTTTTTATTTACTAATTTTTTCGCGTACATTATTGTTTCCCATTGTTTGACATGCTCTTTGTGTTTTGTTTGCAGGTCGAAAGAAATTGTGAGATTGGAAATTCGAAATTCTAAGACAGTGCACGCGTACAAGTGAATTTTGCTATTAGTGTTAAGTTCGCCAGAAGAAGCAGAGCAGTTTGAGCTAGTTGAGTTGTCAACTAGTTTCAGCTGCCGGAGGAAGAAAACAGGAGAAGGTCTTGGGGTGTCTTATGGTGTAATGCCCATAGTGCCGGGGCGCAATGTGCTGTTGGGAAACGCGCGCGTTTGCGCTGCGCCACTCGCTGGCGGCGTTCGTCGTTCTGCTGTTCTTCAAGAAGGCAGATGCCGGCATCCTTGACTCCTTGGTTTGGGCTAGATCCGATAAAATTGATGTTACTATACCATGGCTACCATGTAAGTGAAAAAATATTTAAATTTAATTTCAACATTAAATTTGAGGTTATAAATTTATTGTGATAACAAAAATGAAATTATCATTTTATAGAGAATTTAATGTAGTTTTAGGAATAGTTTTGATAATTAAAATCGGTGAATTATTAACATAGTTATGCACAAAAATATAAAAGTTTTGACGCGAGATTTGCTAAAGCCGATATTTAATTCTGACTTCATTTTCAGTGTTAATAACTGATTAAAAATAGATAAAATTGTTATTTTAATGTGAGTCATATGTTAAATTAAAGATAATTTAATATTTAATGATAGCATTCAATTTAATTATAATTATTTCCGATATTTACTTGCAATTAATCAAAAATAAGGTTAAAAACATTTGAAAAAATAATTAAACATTAAAAACGAGCATAATGTTTTATTTCATGAAAGTTTATAATGACTTCACTTTAAAGGAAATTTTATCTACTTTTAGAAATAGTTTTGATGACTTAAATCAGTGTTGTTGTTCAGTAATTATCAACAAAAGTATGAACGCATGTTATATGTCACCTACAAAAGTGGTTAAATTTTGTATGACTACACTTTAAGAAATAATAACAGATAGTAAAAACGGACGTTGTTTCTTGAGTCATATGTTAATTTATACTTTATATAAATGGAATCAATTTTATTTAATTAGAATTGAATTATTTTCTTTTTTTCTCGTTAAATCACTAAAAATTAAACAAAAATGACTAATTTTTTTAAATTTAAAGGTATAATCAATTAAATTATACACTGATAACAACCAGATACATTGATATCAAGCCCAATTTACTTTAACAGGATTTGAACTGTCATAAATTAAACAAATCCAATTACTTTATTCACTTCACTCAATTTAATTTAAACTTTACTGCACAATACAAGCAAAAATAGTTTTCCGCCGTGTTTCGCAAACATTTCTTGCAATTTCACTTTGTCGCGATCGATTCCAACTCGTAATGTAATGCAATAACATATTTACCGACTAGTTACACCCGACGCTAACATATTCCGCGGCTTTGCGTGTGAAACTCGCGTAAAAACTGTCGAAATTGCCTCGCTTTTTTCGCTCTTTCAAACATTTGAACAAAACGGGGAAAGTTTATAAGTATGTACAGACAAATATTACGCAATAAGTACACTTATAAGTACCTGCACAGCGCAAGTATAAGTACGCACGAGTACATACACTGCGCACACTACGCTTTCGGTGATTAGTGGCGGAGTTTCGTTTTCTTCCGCGGCGCGCCGTAAAAGTAAACACACAAAATCGAAGATGATGATGGACGGAAAGAAAGGACTAGCTGACCCAATGACACATTTACATTTACACGCCGAGAGAGCATTCGACATTCGAAGCGCGAGATAATCATTTAAACGAGCGTAAGTGCATCGCCGCTGCTGCTGCTTATCGCTTTCTTCAACTCGATGTTAAGTTACATGATTTTCATATTTTGACAGCCGTAATAAACGCGCGCGACAGCTTAGATGCATTAATATGCATCAAAGCGTAAAATTAAGATTGTAAGCTTTTAATTCGCTGTGTGTACAGCGCCATCTGCAGCGGCCATCTTTGAAATTGTTGAAAGTATTGGATTTTATTCGATTATTTATGTGATATTATAATAATTGTGAGGATTTTTGTGTTTGTGAATTGTGACTGACTTTCGACGCCGACTTCCACGTTACTTTTCGGTTTACTTTCTTTTCGCCGACGTGAATTCGTGCGCGCGGATACCAACCGGTTACACATTACAATAATAATGGCAGCGGTGGCGATTCCGAGTATAAACAAACGTCACCTTGAAAAAATTACACGCGGCGAATTCGATCGGTGTGTTAAATTATAAGTTGAGTTGAGGTTCGAGTAGACGACGTAACTTATACTAATTTAAGTAGTGTAACTGATACATGCCACGCATGTACAGAGGAGTATAATTTATGGGTAATTAACTTGGGGAATTTTAAAGATAATCATCTGGTTTTAGAATAGATTTTATGCTTTGTCATAAAGTTTCAATTGGAATTAAATAAGTATTGAATTTTATTTGTAGATTTAAAGTATCAAGTCTCAATTGATTTGGAAAGTGAATTATTCGCGTTTTAATTGATAAAAATGTGTTTTGAGAGTTTAGATAATACAATTAGCTATACAAAATTGTAAGTAGAATAAATTTAACGTTATTAGTTTTGAAATAATTCGAAAATCAATTAAATGTTCCAAAATTTGCAAAAAAGATTGTCGCATGTTTATTATTTTTATTTCTTAACAAATTTATAATTGATTGAGATAAAATCTTGAAATAAAAAATTATTTGTAGATAATTTAAATGGGTTTTGAACTATATAATCAAAATTATGTTTAGTAAAATAGTTTTTACGTTATTCATAAAATAAAAGTGAATAAAACAACGCGGTATTAACTGAACACCGAAGTTTAATTCGTATAATTTTCAAATGGTTAATAATTAAAACGTTGTTCTTGCACAGGTTTATAGATAATTTAATTAACTCTTAGAAAACGCAAACAAAATTGAATTCGTTCAAATAATTTAAAAGTTACAACCAAAAACAAAATAATATTTTCGCTTTTACAGAATAATAAACATAATTTATTGATTTAAACTGCTAGTAATAGGTAATTAAAACAATTAAGCCTTTATTAATTACACTTCTATGGGTAAATATTCTAAGTGGCTTTCCAATTTTCCTAAGAATACAATTTTTCCGCCAATATTTTGAAGAATAAAAAATTAATAAAACAAAAAATCATATTTTCTGCATATTTTTTGATTTTATTTTATTTTTTCATTAATTTTTATAATTTAAATATCTATAACGTGTAATTGGCTATGCGCAAAAAGTGTGAAACGCCAGAGTAAACATTTCATCAGTTGTGTAATGACGTGTTATTATATTAACACGAACGCGTTAAAAATACGCTAAAAAATCACACGTCGATTTTGAGGTCCAATGTTATGCTATGTTATGCTGTGTTATGTATCACCACTGGTATTAGTATTAGCCATTAGCTATTAAGTATTTACGCAAACCGCTGAATTTAATTTAGAGTGGAAGTTATTAAATAACGCTTTGAATTCACTCGGAAATGGATCGATTATGCGATCCTGTGATTATGCGAAAAAAAATCGTTGAATAAAACACGATCGTAAAAGAAAGGAATTTCTATACCGAATGTTATAAGAAAAATTTAAAAAAAAGTGTGATTGAAAAGAAAACGCAATGTTTGAGTTGCTGTATAAGTCTTGAGCGCTTAATTTAAACATTGCCGTTTGTATATTATTCTGGACATCCAATCTGCTGTATGCATTAGTGAAAATCATAATTTTTATTAAATTTATTTGCAGTTGAAAATGAAAATCGTTGCTATGACGAACTGGGTTGTTTGAACATCACACGCAGTTGGTATCACTTGATCCACCGGCCATTCAATGTGTTTCCACTGCCGAGATCCGTCATCAACACCCGTTTTATTCTTTATACAAGACTTAATCCCACTGAGGTAAGTATAGTACCAAATAATTTAACTAATAATAATTGTTTAATTATATATTTTCATATTTTTATTAACAATAAAGCAAATTTTATGTAATTAATGCACGAATGCACACACGCGATGCACGTAACTTCCGGTACGTCTTTCAATTAGCTACACATAATTCCAATTAATTCCAAATCAACAAATTATAAGTAATTTATTTATGTTTTATTAACTCTTAGCCGCAGTTTTTAGTAAAAATCTAATCCATATTACTTTTTTGTTAATTTAACACCATTTACGTCTTAATTTTCAAAATTTTAATCTTTATTCTGCTACTTAGAACAAAAACGAATCCAACAGACATAGATCCTCAAAATCTATCCAGCCCTTCTTAAGTTATACAAGTTGTAACTAACACGACTTTGTTTTATATTGCAGGGTCAATTAGTGCGCGCGCAGGATGACAAATCAATCAACCGCAGCAATTTCGACCCGAAGAAGAAAACTAAGTTTATTATTCATGGATTTATTGACACGCCATTATCTAATTGGGTAAGTAATTATCAATTGAACAATTATTTACAATATTATATAATCTTTCAACGCATCAAAACACATTGTGCAAAAAATATTATGCCAACTCGTAAAAATATTAATTCGCGTCAATCAATATTGAAAATATAAAATTCGCAGCTGCTATAATCTAAGACGCACTTTATAACAATCGTGCGTCAAAGAATTATCATGAATCAAACATAAATATTCCATTTGCGTAGCTTCATGAAACGATTTATTGCTTATTGCCGAATCGGATCACAGTTTGATGTCAATCGTATAATATAAACTTACTTATAACAAAACCTAACCTAACCTATACATAAGTCTCACTCGTATATCTGCAATAAAACACTTCAGTGTTCAACAATAAGCTTCTTCATTTTTCTCTTCTTTATTCTATTCTATTGTTAACCAGTTAAACTGTCAAAGCATAAAATAAAGATTATAGGTTACGGTGTCTCGATGTTCCAACTAGGACTTCTTCGATCTCGAGTTTATGTTTATAGCATTAAAACTATATTCAAATAAGTGTCGAAATTTACATGTTCACTACTTGAACTTTACTTATATAACTTTACTCATTATGCATAGAGACACTCGAGCTGCAAGAATAGCGAATTGATCGGTTAATGTAGGTTGTGTTGCATAAGTTACATAACAAGTGTATATAATAATATGCGTGTTGCACAAGTTGCATACGGTGACCTTGGTTAACCTAGGTCCGAAAGTGGGTTTTGTTTAGCATTTATTAACAAAATTCAGTTAGGTTAGGTTATGTTTAGTTGTGGCATGCGAATTTTTTTTACGCGAAAAGAAAGTTACTTAATTATAGTTGCGCGAGGCGCAGTTTTAGAGTTTCCTTAATAAATATGTACATATAATAAATATGCACTTGTATTCGCTCGCAAAGCGTTGATTGTGATTATTTATCCGATGGGAAATGACCGATTAGCAATTAGCAATTGTTTCCGTGTTTGCGTCCTTGCGCGCATAGGTAGACAAGAAATAATTACAGGCATTGATTGGAAAATATAATAGTTTTGTTTTCACGCTTCGCCATTTTCATTTTATCTGCTGCGTTATGATTGCTATTTGTTTTTCAACTTTTCTTGTATTTGCTATTATTAAATGATATTTCGCAACGTGTCAATTTAAATTCGTATTACTGCATTGCACGCACGAGTGACTTAAAGTCATAATGCAGTCGGTAAAATACAAAATGGCCGCCATTTTAATTTTTTACCGTTTTTTATTCGTAAACTAAAGTTATATCTTAAAATATAACAAAATAAATTCAATTAAATGACTATTTCACTAAATTGTATGATAATAAATTAATTATTAGCAACAAAACATAAATAATTGTGATTAATGCGTAACTACTGATTAAAATGTTTATCAAAGCCTGAAATAGCATAGCGAGAAATGACTAATCATGATTATACAATAACATTATACCAAGTTGTGACGAATCATGAGTAATTACAACACTAACATCTGTAAAAACAAAAATATAAGCAATTTAATTTAAGAAATTAATCGGCAACTATACATTGATAAATGTAAAATCTAAAAATACTTTCGAATAGCATTAATCATTCTAATTTTGATTAAATTGTAAGTTTTTTCTAACAAGATACGTTTTTTGTGCGTCTACTCGTCTGTGTTAAGTTTCTAATTAATTTAAATCCACACGTTTGCTGCTATTAATCATGCCGGTTTATTGACAGACAACTGAAGCCACACCAAAAGTAGTAATTCGCTTTCATTTCACTTTTCACCAGCGCAGATTCCTATCGTCAATCGTTAATCTTAATTTATTTCTGCGCGCATCATACGAGAATATTTATTTCATCGAGGGCAAGGTCAACATCTTCAAAATAAATATTAAATTTAATTATAATCGTGATAGTGAAGATTGAAAAGTGAAATTGTAGTTAGAAAAAAATGAAATGATATATAGGCAACTTAGTTCACGTGCCAAAGTGAAATTGTGGTTAGGGTAAAATGAAGTATAGGCAACTTAATTAACATGTTTATATGTGAGTGTTGTATTAATTTTTCTTTGTTTCTTGGTTTAAGGTGGGTGACATGCGTGATGAATTGATCAAAGCCGACGACATGAATGTTATTGTCGTCGATTGGGCTGGGGGCAGTTTGCCGCTGTACACGCAAGCCACCGCCAACACCCGATTAGTTGGTTTGGAGTTAGGATATTTTATCAATCATATTATTGTAAGTACATGACCTAAAAATATTCTGCATTAATTTTCTGTTTTTTTTTCTTATTATTTTATGTTTTTTTTTTTAATAGAAAAACTACACTGTTGACCCAGCTGATGTGCACATCATAGGTCATTCTCTAGGCGCACACACAGCAGGATACGCAGGCGCATTGGTTAAAGGATTGGGAAGGATAACCGGTCTGGATCCGGCCGAGCCGTACTTTCAAGTAAGTCGTCGTTGAATTTTTTCGCAACGCGCTTGCGAAACACACATTCTTTGCTTAGTGAATTGTTACGCTTACGCATTTCTAACAGGCCTGTCAATGCACTTAAGTGCATTTTACTGTTACTCAAACTTGCACTCGAAACGGTAAAAATGCCGTTCGGTTGTTGTAATAAGCATGAAATTTCTAGAACATGCCGTCGCACGTCCGTCTCGATCCGTCCGACGCCGAACTGGTTGATGTCATCCACACAGACGGCAAAGGAATTTTCTTTCTTGGTGAGTTGAAGAAAATATTTTGTTAGATTAATACGGACCTGGTTTACATTAGGATTATTTGAGTAAAAACGTGATTGATAATTGGTTTTAAATTGAATCTCTCAAAATATTATACCTAGTCACTTTCTAGTCGTGATATTCGCGGTTATTAATGAGCAATTAGCGCCTGCCAGCGCATTAAAACGTCCTCATGAAGTTGTGTATTCTTGAATTCACGATCGTTATGCGTTATTCGTCGAATTTCACGCCAATAAGGAAATTAGCGTGGAGCACGACGTTGAATTCACATTTGTTGAAAAGCTAATTATTGTTAACGTGCCGATAATCTATTGTAATTAACACGGTTGTTTAATTATTAGAAAATTTTTGTTATTTTACTTTTGAGTATGCAACCAACAATACGTTCGATCTGTCAAATCATTGAAGATATTCACTTGCCCATTTTTTTAACTAGCCTATCTTATAGAGTATAGTCTGTAGATTAAGATGCTGCGATCAGATCTTAATTATCTCTTTTAGTTTACGAGATATTCGCGATTGAAGAAAATCATCAAAAATTGCAAAATGTCACTTTTTAGCACTTTTAGTGGCATTTTTTGACCTTTTACTGTTGGAAATATAATTATTTTATATTTTTATCTGATAGAGAATTTTCCAATCTTTCATAATCAGCGATTCGTTGGTTGTTAGCGCTTTTAGTTTCAGAGATATCAATTATCAAAAATCATTGAAAAAAAGTATCAAGCACCCCCCCCTTGGTAATTTTTTCTTAAGATGTAAAATTTTATCTATCAGATTTCCGTTTTAACTATCTTATCTTATAGAAAGTAGTCCGTAGATTAAGATGCTGCGATCAGATCTTAATTATCTCTTTTAGTTTACGAGATATTCGCGATTGAAGAAAATCATCAAAAATTGCAAAATGTCACTTTTTAGCACTTTTAGTGGCATTTTTTGACCTTTTACTGTTGGAAATATAATTATTTTATATTTTTATCTGATAGAGAATTTTCCAATCTTTCATAATCAGTGGTTCGTTGGTTGTTAGCGCTTTTAGTTTAAGAGATATCAATTATCAAAAATCGTTGAAAAAAAGTATCAAGCACCCCCCCTTGGCAATTTTTTCTTAAGAATGAAAATATCATCTCTCAGAAATATATTATAGTTCATATTTTTATAGGTTATGGCATGTCTCAACCATGTGGCCATCTTGACTTCTATCCGAACAACGGCAAGGAACAACCTGGATGTGATATAACACAGACACCATTAGTTCCTTTGACTTTAATTCGTGATGGTTTAGAAGAAGCATCGCGTGTTTTGGTAGCTTGCAATCACGTTAGAGCGATTAAATTATTTACGGATAGTATTAACGGTAGATGTCCGTATTTAGGTAAGTTAGAAGTACTCATTCTCCTATAAATCCAATTAATTTGATTTATTTCATGTTTAGCTCACCAATGCAAGAGTTATCAACACTTTTTGACTGGCAAATGTTTCACCTGCAAACCTGGCTCACAGAGTTGTGCTCTAATGGGATATCACGCTGATTCCAGTCCTGGATTATTGGATAACGAAGTATCACCTAGTACGAAACTTCAAGACGCTGTTGGGAATAAATATTTCACATCTACAGGCAGAGAATATCCATATTGTCGTAAGTTATATTATAATCTTTTTAGTAACGACCAGTAATGTATGCAACCAAATTTACAGATCGATTATATCGAGTCAGTTTGGAACTTGCAAAACCTCCGACCGCTGAAATCTGGGTGCAGGGTTTTATAAAAGCCAAACTGCATTCGCCACAGGGTGTTATCCACATGGATTTAACACCATCGGGTGATATGAAACTCGAGCACGGTTCGACTTATTCCATGGTCCTTTCACATCCTGCTGATCTGGGCGGAAATATAAAGAAAGTGGAGCTCAATTGGGAATACGACATGAATGTCCTAGAACCAAGGACACTTTGTCTCTTCTGGTGTAATGATCATCTGTATGTGAAGAGCGTTGCTGTCGAGGAGATGGAAATGCCTGGAAGAGGGTAAGATATTGATTGTCACACAAGTTGCATAACCATGATGTCTAAATTTTTGTTTTTATTTTTTAGGAAACGTGATGCAAAATTCTCATCGAAATTGTGCGCACGTAGCAAACGTGATTATGCAGACATCGCCAACAGAGGACGTGCTGTCTTTGTCTCCGATGGCTGTTGTCGGCAGTACAATACTTCCAGTGATAAGCTGAGCTAGCACTGGAAATATGTTTATTGTTTGTAAATTTTACTCGTTTCCCAGCGCGGATGCAAAACAAAGTACGCCAGTGATATCCCCCTAATTGTACACGTTAAGTATTATAGTTGACGCATTTGCCAATTAGTCTGTAAGCGTTGTGTTTATTAGTTTTTAAATTTGATATACGCAAAATCCATTGGATTCAAATTGTTTATTTTTTCTCTTTGTATAAAAATTGTGCCATATTTGCACACCCGTTGAAACAAAAGCATATTTGTTAAATAGTGCAGAGGTTTGAGTAGATTTGTATGAATTTGTTTTTAGTTTGATATTCTTGCAAATTCTTTTTGTTGTTAAACTGTTTTTGGTATTATTCGAAATGTTTATGTGATATGTATTGGATGTGTTATTTTTTTAAATATAAATTATATAGATTTATTGGTTTTATTAATTAATTATACCTTCTTATCAAAATATCCGTCGAGAAATGTTTTAGAAGTGCTTTCGTGTAAGTTATTTTGTGTCGAACGACAGGTCGAACTTTTTTGTTTAAATTATTTTCGGTCGAAAGTCAGGGTCGAACTTTTTTATTAAAATTATTATATGTCGAAAGACAGGGTCGAACTTTTTTCTTAAAATATTTTCGGCTGAAAGACAGGGTCGCACTTCTTCTTAAAATTTTTTTATTATAGAATATTGAAGAAAATGTTATTTGGAATACGTTATCTTAATAAAATTTTGTTCTAAGATGTACCGTTTTGATAATAATCACCATAATAGAATTCGTTTTTGTGCGAAGTCAAATTTTTCTCTAAAATTGTCAATAGGGCCTAAACGGCTAGTGTTACATAAACATTGTACTTAAATAAATAAATGATAATTAAACAAGCTATCCGAATCCGAAATCAGAATATCAAAATTCCCATTTTTATTTTGTGATAAAAAAACGAAAAAGTTTTGCCTTTTTTATGACGAAATCTTTTCACGGTTTCTGTTTTTTATGACAAAAATTAAATGTTGGAATTTTCAAATTGTTTTTTCTGATTATGATAAAGCAGAACATTAGAAATCATTTATTTTAGTAAACTTTTCTTCTGCAACCCTTATTTAAGGCCCTATTGATAAAATAACATTCAAGAGTTTTATGTGAATATCTTTTAAACTAAACGACTAATTAAAATAATGTATTAAAATATTTTGTGTATATTATGGTCCTTCATCATAATCTACTATAAAAATTTAATTTTTTTTAAATTTATTAAATAATGCAATTAAAATATGGCGGAGGCGCCTGGCATTTTATTGCGTGATTTTAATTAATCTTAAAATATTAATAATATAATTGTGTAGAAGGGCTCTTAATACATTTATGAATAAAACTCTCTCCTCATTAGCACTAACCGTTGAGCCAATAAATGCATTTTAGTGAATCGTGTACTTCCAACAATACTTAAGTACCGATTATCTTAGGAACTAATTAAGATATACAAAAACGGAAAACGGCATTGTGTTCAGCAATTAATTTTGCATATGTTAAAGCCTTAAAATTTGTACTTTTGAGTAGGTGAAAAATGATTTTCCAACGCAATTTTCTCGAAAACTAATAAAGATAGAAAGAAACTTCTTGCAGTTTCTTCATGCCATGGTAAGGGTCTATAAAATGGCAGATTTAGTTTTTTGATTCTATGAAGTTAACCAAAGACCACTCAAAAAGAGTCAAGAGGTTACACTTAACTATTTTGGGGCCTCAAAAATGAATGTTGAGCTAGGAGAAAATGGAAAACGCCAATCGATAGAGTTTTTCATGGGCATGAAAGATATCTAATCAGTTTTCCGATAGCATCAATATTTCGGAAAATGGGTGATAAATTCAAAACTGAACAAATACAACCACCTCTCCGATTTTCCTCAAACTTTCCAGACTGATGTAAAACAATGTCAGGAACTCATTAATCCAGGTTTGGTTGCGCTATCTTAATTAGTTTTTAAGTTATTGACCATTTTTAATTATTACATCATGATTGATATTTTAATATTTTTCAGTGCTATCTAGTGTAGAAAAGTCCCCTGTATATGAATCTGAAAACCGTTTTTTGTTAGCTCCAACGGTTTGCGAGAAAAGTGAAATAAACTAGATTTTCAGTTTTCTCTATCATTTTATATGTAAAAAATAAAAATAGAAAATTTAAATTTTTTATTGCAGAAAATGAAAGGAACCATAATCCTGGTTATTTTATCTTAGTGAAATTTTGTTATCAGATTGATTATTTTGATAGTAATTAGCGTTTTAATTGTGAAACAAAATTGTCAATAGGGCCTTAAATAAGGGTTGTGGAAGAAATGTTTACTAAAATAAATTACTTATAATCTTCTGCTTTATCATAATCCGAAAAAAAAATTTCAAAATTCCTATTTTTAAATTTATGTCATAAAAAACAGAAACCGTGAAAAGATTTCGTCATAAAAAAGGCAAAACTTTTTCATATTTTTATCACAAATTAAAAGTTCGAATTTTTCAATTTCGATTTCGGATTCTGATAGCTTGTGGAATTCTGATTACTTTATTTATGAACAATTTTTTTGTAGCACTGACCCTTTAGGCCCTATTGACAATTTTATAGAAAATTTTGACTTCGCACTGAAAACATTTTATAAAAAAGTTCGACCCTGTTCTTCGACAGATTAAAATTTCATTAAAAAAAGTTCGACCCTGTTCTTCAAAGGAAAATAATTTTAACACAAAATTGCGGCCCTTAACGTTCTTATATTTATATTAACTTCTTAAAGCACAGGTAAGAGTTCCGAATTATCTCTACATTGAGGCGCACTTATATGTGAAATTCGCAGGATGATTCATGTAGACTGGGTTGCCTATAGTAAGAGTCCACAATAAGCAAAAATACAAATTTATCTATTATAATTGTCTGTATTTCAGTAGAAAATATCAAATAAATAATTCCAACAAGAGCAAACTGAACAATCAATTATGAAAATTTATTAAGTGCACATTTTCCATTGGCAATTACGTGCTCGAACGCTATAAATAAACGTAATAGGCAGCCATAGAGCCAATAAAAACGTCGCACTTCACAATAATATGAATTACGATGTATGAACAACCCTTTGGCCGTTAGCGTCCCCATCCGGGAGAACACAACACAACCAACCCCTCATTTTGCAATAAAAGTAAACTCGTAATCCCCAGCTTATTAAATAAATACCTACCTGTGAGACAATCTGCTGCAAAACAAGTTAAATAACTATTGAAAACGAAATATTTGTATATTTAAATTAACAAATTCATTTATTTCGTAAAGAAACAATAAATCCACAGAAAAAACATTAAATAACCGTCGTAGTTGATAAACAAATATTGTTAGTGATGTCTGAAACGGTCAAAAACCATCGTAAACGATTCCATCGCAATGGTTTTTAGTTTGCTTTAGTTTTTTTCGCCTTTCCAGTGCCATTTGCAATTGTAACCGCGCTACCATCGCCATCAGAGTTCTTTCGAGTCGTTGCCGCGTTAACTATCTCCTTCGGGGGCGGCGCATGTGTGGGTTTCACGTATGTGCGGTAGTAGAAACTGCCGAAGAGATAAAAGAAGAATATGGCTTGCATTCCCAGCAGGAAGGCGATGAACTTCGGGTAGTCACACTGTCTGAAGAGTACTTGGAAGTTGTGAACGGCAATTATACAAAACTGCACCTAAAATGGATACAAAACATAAAGTTAAACAAATATTACCAATTTCATATAGAAAATAGTATATTTACCATTTGCATTGCAGTTAGATACTTCTTCCACCACAAATATTTTTGATATTGAGGACCAAGAGACGCCACCAGGTAATACGAGTACATAATAATGTGGATGAAGGAGTTAATCAATCCCAGAAGGGTACCATGGCCGCCAGGCAAAAATTTTGCACCCACCCAGGCACAGACAGGCATCAGAGAGTGATGGTAGAGATGAAGGAAAGATACTTGATTCATTTTCTTTCTTAGTACAAAAAATACCTTAAAATTCACAAATTAATAACAAAATTTAATTTTCTAAAGGAAAAATATACTTACAGTATCTAAAAGTTCAGTCAACTTGCAAATGAAGTAGAAATAAACAGCACCAGCCATCTAAACAATAAAAATAAATTAAAAATAAATTAAAAATAAATTTATTACGTTTATTTGGCGTTGATTTTAGTCAAAACTTTCTTAACTAATTTATTTCTTGCAGAATAAACCAATTATGAGTTTAATTTGACAATAAAACACTCAATTTTAACCTAAAGGTATAAAAAAAAAGTAAAACATGTACTGTAGCGCCATCTACCTTTAAATTATATAAGTGTAATTATGAATAAATCTCCAAAATAACTTTCATCCCCCATTTTACATCCTTAAAATCAAATTTTCGCAACAAAAAGTAGCCTATTTCCTTTTCCTTGATCAAAAATATTTAAATACCAAATTTTATCAAAATTGATTCGCTGGTTTAACCGTCAAAGCGCCACAAACAAACAAAACACTCATAATATAATATAACTTAAGATTAAATTGAATTAAATTAAATATAACATGATTACTCACTCGTTTTGCACGTGGATCTTCAGAAAAATCAATCGGTTGACACGCAAAACTGTAATTATGCCCCCATCCCCCTTGCAGCCCTTCATAGACAAGCAGCACGCTTAATATAACCTGCACCAAGTTATACAACTTAATAATACCCTTCATCTCAAAGGGTTTACGGTCTTTCATAAAATTGGGACCCGCCCACACACAGAAGTACAAATAAGTGGCGATGATTGTCAGCAATGGTCCTGGGGAAGACATCAAAAACCACTCATTTGTTCTTGGATCTGAAATTTAATCCAACAGAAAAAAAAATTAAAATTAAAAGAATTTTATTATGAGTTGTATAAGTAACCTCCTTTAGTCTCCATCAAATAGTAGTAATACTCGAGAGGTGACGCCATCTTGAAGAGCAAATTGGGCCTGAAACAACAGTATCGATCAATATTAAGCGTCGCGCAAACAATTACACTAGAATTTTTATTGAGTGTTTGTCGTATTCCGAATAAAAACTGCGCCGATTTGGGTCAAGTCGAGTCGTGACCTCGCAGATGGAAACTCTGTATCGAGAAGAAATTCGAGTGCTTCGATTTGCGCGTTACGGTTGATGCATTTAATGCATTCACACATTCTTCTCACTATACACAATGCAAATTGATTTTACGCCAGGTTTAGATTTGAGATTTATCACTCTGGTCAAGTTGAATACTTGTCCGATATGATGCAAGTGATATTTGACTAGTTAACCAATCGTTTCGCTTTCGTTGAGTCGTTAATTCTTTGTCAAACAGCAAAAGAGTCGCCCGGAAGGTTGCGCATAAGCGATAATATTGAATAACGCACTTGACATCCTCGAAACAATTTGAGTCAAGTGCGAAAAGAAAGTGAAACATGTGCTAATCATCCAAAAGAAAAAAATATCCCACGTAAATCATCAACAGGAATAATAAAATTGATAATATTTACGACTACAAAGGGATATTAATTTTTATAAGATTTATTGATTATGAAAAAATTAATTGCGCTGAAAAAATGCCGAGTAACAACGTATTAATTAAACTAATTAATTTAATTTAATCGAGTTTACTGCAAAGGTAGATGCATTGCAGTTATTGATAGTATGTTGGGAGTGGAAATCCGATTATCAAAATAATTGCTGCGCGTGGCAACAATTTGCGCACTCATTTTCGATTAATTACACGTTATTGTTTATTACTCGGTGGGTTTTGATTTGGTTTTTTGGATTTGACCACACAATTATTTATTAATTTTTAAAATATTATTTTAAATGACAAATATGAATGAATGAAAATTTCTCTGTTCTCATTTTTATATCAAGAAAAAGTTTTTTTTTTCATCCAGTAAACAAAAGCAAGTCAAGATTAAAACATAAAGAAATAATAAAATAAAGAAAGAAGAAGGAAATCCCATATGAGAAATTAACTACTTTCAATCAAAATTATACGCTTTTATACAGTGTGTTAAAATAATAAAAAATAATTAAACTCACCTAATTAAAATAAAAACTGCTAATAAAATCACAAATGTATTAAAAATCAACTTTTTTGTTGTGTTGATTTGATTTTCAAATAAATATTAATTTAAATTTACAAAAAAAATTGTGTCTACTGCACGCACTACCCAGGAAAGCGCGCCGCAAACGACTGAGGCTGTTTGAGAATGCGCAGCGCGCTTTTGTCGATTTTTCAAACCGAATCAACGACTTGACAATCATCATACGCTGGCGTAATCACCGATCTCATATTAATTGTATTGTTTTAAGTTTAAACAAGATAATTAATATTCAATAAGTGTATATTAGGTCACAAAATATCAACTTTAAAATAGAAAAGAGATAATTAAACTGATTTATTAAACTTTTGTAGATTTAAATTTGTAATTAAATAATACGGAAATTATTTTTAAGTTTATAAAAGTGTAAATGGTTTGTTGGTTTGTAGAATAAAGGAAAATCCTTCAGAGCGCCATTTAAAGTGTAAAAGGCAAGACTGGAGTAAAAATAAATTAATGTAGTCTAGATTGACGTAAATGTTGTTTTCTTTTTGTTTTAGTTTTGTTGCTTATCGGTGTGTAATGATATATTTAAAAGAAAATATTTTATCGGAAATATTTGTCTAAATATGCTGTTTTTTTGTAGTTTGTCATTTTGTTGCTATTTTTATTAACACGGCAATACATTAAATGCATTTTGGTATTTAGTACTTTTGCTTTTAACAATTCCTATTACGATATATTAATTTAATTGATAATTTGCTTGTTTTTGGACATAATATGAGTTGAAATCGACAATAAAATTCATAATTCTAATTTAAAAAATGAGAAATACTAATAATGCACTGTAACGCCATCTAGATTCACAATATATTAGTATTACTATGACAGGATATACATATCAACTTCAAACCCTAAAATTACACCCTTTCTGATAATCTTTTTAAACAAAAAGTAGCCCATGTTATTTTCCTGTGTCTAAAATACTTTTACACGGAAACTTATTAAAATTGGTTCAATATTTTATACGTGAAAGCGTTACAAACAAACCATCACACTTAAACTTGAATTTAGCTATACCATCAGTTAAAATAATGCCTAAAAATTAACCAAAAATAAAACACTCATGAATACTCCACTAAAAGGGAAACATTTACACAATTTTTTTTTAATTTCAAGTTTTACCCACCTACAATCAATATAAACTAAAAATAGTAACTGCTTTGCAATATCAATAAATAAATATAAAAGGATGTTGACTACTAAATACATTATTCACTGATGTGTTTTACCACATTAAGGTATATTCTATGCAGTGTAAATTCTTGCACTGCGCACATTCACGTTTTATGCATTTGTGAAACAATATTAGCAATAAATCATCGCATTGATGCGGCAAACGAACGAAGAACGGAACACCGCGTTCACATACGAGCATTATCATACATAAAATGCAAGCATGCGGCATTGTGCGTTTCTTTTAATTATCGAAATCAACTATCATAAACAATAAACAGCGCACTCGTCATTGAATTCGCGTCGTTCAATCGAAGGTGAAGTACAAAACTCGACGCGTCTTGACTTACTCTTGTCATTTTGTCATCGATAAGTTAGAAATGCTATTCATTTACTACGAATTTTTTGACTTAGACTCGAAGAAACGACTTACACAACTTTGCTTCGCATATAAAATGACGCACGAAATTTTCCCGGGCGTCGACGGTCAAGATGCTCTTCGTATAATTCGATTGCACTGCGACATTCAATAAATTTCGAGTACGATTCTTCACTTTCAACGTTTCGTCGCACTTTAATTAATTGGATAAACATTGAATTATGTCACGGCTAACAATCTTAGACACAAAATGTTACAACACATTAAAATTTGAAATAAAACTCACCCATATTTTAAAATATTAAACAAAAAAAATTATGATGTAAATAGTTGAAAATGAGTATATTACTACGTGTATATTGGGTTGCCTATGTTAAAAGTCTAAGACGATGAAATTAAGCGATTTTATTTTGATTTAAGCCGCAATTTGTGGCGATATTAAGTCGTCACATTAAAATCATTTGAATCATTACGGAAATATGTCCAACCGCGGTAATTCAACGAAAACAAAAGCTTGTTCCACGTTCTGCGTTCGTGTTGCCACTCGAAATAAAGACGCCCGGCCCGAGCCGAAGCAATTTAATTTAAATTTCAAATTGGCACGTTTTGCATTGTGCAAATGTGGAGGGCGAAATGCGAGTCACTCGCCTCGAAAAACAATTTAATAAATCGTTTGCAACAAATTCCGGAGCGTGAGGACTTAATGGTGATATTTTTCCGTGCGCGGCGCAAACGGTTGAAACACGATACTACGTTTCTGCATTTCGTGTTTTACGTGATTGACACTGTGTGAGTGTGTTCCACTGAATTTAAATCCTTGCGCAGGACAACACGGAAGGACATGTAGCCTACAACACGCCAACCCAACCCGGAACGCGGAAATTTATCGATGTTCTTTACGCTCGATTGAATTAATTGAAAACCGTTTCGGGATTCTAAGGTTAAAAACACAAACAATTGAACCAGCGCTATTAGAGTCAAGTGTAGCTAATAATAATGAAAAATCAATAATCGGGGTTTGATGGATGCCGATTTCCGGGCCGGCGTTTTTCCGTATCAATCAAGTCAATATTTCCGTCGGGCCGGAAAAACCTATCATCCCCGTCAATATTTATCCGCGTCGTAAATTATTTTTCTGTTTGGGCGCTTCTTTGTTCCTCGGCGTGTTTGTTCGCCGCGGAAAATCAAAATTCGAGAAAATGTAGAGAGAAAAACAAACTGACCAAGCGCTCAGGAAATTAATGACCACTGAAAATCAACAAAAAGCTTTGTGTGTGAACGGATATAGGTCGGCGTAGGTTTATAAAAATTATTCAACGACTCAAAAACGATAATATTTTCACTAGCCTCGAGCTTATAAATCATATTACAAGCACTTACATGTGAAAAATTCTTTATGTGAACAGTAAAGTTGATTTAACCGTCAGGAATCATTTTTAAAGTAGGAATTGTTGTGTTTTGTTTGTTTGTGACGCTTTCACGGGAAAACCAGTGAATCAATTTTGATAAATTTTGGTTTGGTGCTACTTAAGACTAAGGAAAATAAAATAGGCTACTTTTTGTCGCAAAAATGTAACTTTAAGGGTGTAAAATAAAGGTTGAAAGTTTATATGGACATTTTTTCATAGTTTAGTTGTAAAATTCGAATCTAGATGGCGCTAAAGTGTTTTATAAACATTTTTTTCATGTTTAAAAATTAAAATTGACAATTTTATTAACAAATTCGGCATTAAAACCGTCAAAAATCAAGAAAATAATTAATTTAACTATTTTTTTTAATTAAAATCAACTTGTGCAAAAGGCATATTCATATCTTGATTTTCAAATTGAAATTTCCTTATTATTTCGGCAAGAAACACGATGCATTATGGAACCTCACGTTCATTATAAATCAAGTCGGTACGCATCGAGTGGTTGTTAGGTCGCAAACGAGCGCACTCATTACTCCCGTCGACGATTTTCACCCCGCTGCCCTGAAGCAATCCGATGTAAAACGACATCTCCCCAATGTCCCGCTCTTTGAAAACTACAAACGTAGGCGGGCGCATTAAAATTGCACACGGCGTCCTCCAGCATACCTGGATATAATTAAACTCGCGAGTGTAAATTCCGCCGGCGACATTTTACTCCCCCTATAATCCGAGATACAACGACTCATAAAATCTAGCAATTTACTTCCATTCCAATTCCGCGTCTGGTAGTTTATTTAAGTTCTAATTCCAAACTGTTTGAATTTAAGTATTTTTTGTTTGTTTGTGAAGGGATGACATTGTGGTGGACTGTGTGCGGTGTTCGG